GGTGGAGGGGTGGAAGTCATTGCAGCTCTTAACGATGAAGTTGACAAAGCAGATGGAAGAGGTGGCGGTGGTGGAGGAGGAGGAGTGGGGCTCACAAACACTGGTGTTCTGCCTGTTGCTGGTGACTGAGGACGATTTTCTACCAAGCCAGTAGTAGAACTGAAACATTCAATAACAGAAGAAAGTTATTAGAGCTGGAGGGTGGAAAAATAGAAAAAGATTCACTTCTGCAACTAAGAATACTGAATGCTTGGCATTATTTACTAAGATGATTTCATATACAAGGAAATCTAATTCTCAGCATAGAGTACGCATCAGTCTTCCAACAGACCTTTGCCCAAATTCAGCTATTAACCGAGTTTATGCTCTTATACAAACCTGCATCTTTATCAAAGGCTTCCTATACCAGTATAATTCTTCCCTTCCATCCTTAAGTAAATCCAAATTATTTTTCTGAAGTAAGGGAACTAGCTGTTAATTAACTGCTTTGATTCACAGAAGTTTAAAGACAAAACAAAACCAAACCATACAAGCAATGAGGATGAGTTACATTTGAAATATGTACTTAAAATTTGATGACAAGATGAGTGAGGCTAATATCAAAGGTCATCAATTCTATGTACAGGGAGGTATTATGTATATGCCGCTAGATAACCATTATACTGCAATGAATATGTGAACTGAAGAAAACAAAAGGGAACAGTAAAATTATTTTCCTGAAAGACCACTAGAGGATTTATTTCAGCTGTTGTGGAAAATCAATCTAAAAAGTTACGCATTTCTGCGTATAATCTCTTGAACAGTAAAAAGACATTATTTTCAAGAGACTTGCTGATGTATCAGCTGTGTCTGAATTAATTGTCCTCTATTCCAAGTTGTATGTACCTGACCTGAAAGTAAGATTTTGGGTATAAAAGAACAGGAGAGTGACAACCAGAGCCTCACTCTAGAAAATACTCTAAGGATGTATTTAGAAAGGCACAGAGAAATAGAAAATAAAAACACTTGGGGGAAATTAAAAAAAAAGCACTTGCAATTTAGCAAATGTGATGGATACAGTGTTGACAGCTGACTGTCTTACTGCAATACATTCTTCCTTTAATGTAGGCTCAAACACAGCTCAGTTGTACGAATTTCAGATTTCTAAGTTTCCAGAATTCCAAAGCTAATTGCTGAGATCCTAACACCTTTCACAGAAACATTTCCTATACAGTTGTTTTGCCATTTAACACAGAAGGCAACAGTCACAATATTAATGGCAAGGTGAAGCTTGTCTCCACAGTGGCACCCTATGGGGTTTTGATGCAGACCTTTCTCTCTGACTCCTGCGTGACCCTGCAGCTGCAGACGCATTAAGGCTGTGGACCAACATAGCCCCCAGGATGTGTATAGTGCCTGAGCTGCATGGAAATAATACTAATGACTATTAGCAGGGTGGTGGAAAAGTAAAGCTCCCCAATAAATCTGCATGTGGCTTGGCCACTTCGTACCTAACGCAAGGAGGTACTGGTTTCACATCCCCTGCTCCATGCATTGGAGGTGGTGGTGGTGGTTCATGTGGTCTGACCAACACTCGCTCCTCGGCTCTGTTCAGAAGTTCCGACATCTGGCTATACGGTAATGCAGAAAGCGAGTATGATCCATCCATATGGTCCACATATGCTTGAGATCTGAAAACAGTGAAAAATAGTCCAATGTAGCGATTAGTAAAAGTAAGTACTAGTGCCCTCAGCTACTGCTCTATACTTCAGTTTGGTTCCTGAATTCAAGTGTCTTCTCTGCACTAATATTGCATATTGTACTTCATGGCTTTTTAATAATTGATCCTACTTTCCATGCCATTGCTTCTAGCAGATCAAGGGTTTAATGATTTTGACAGGTATATCAGACAATTTCTACAGTATGTGTGTGATCTTAGTGCTTATTAGTCACATTATTACATTAAGTGAATGTAGCAATACAATCAGAAATACACATATACCAGAGTGTATTATGAAACAGACATTATACTCAGTAATCGCTTCTACTTCTCAAACCCTACGTATATGCAACCATATTCTTTCGTAACAGTCATAAAACATCCATCAATGTTAGAATGGTAGAATTTACAACTGAATAATTTAGCTGAACTTTTGTCAGAGGATCTATATTCCAATAAATACAGAGAACTCGCTACTTTAGACCTAATACTTTGTAGCTATACAACAGACTTGAGGAAGATAATCTGAATATCTATTATTGAGTAGTAGGAGTAAATAAAGATGACTCAACTTACTTGTTATTGACAAATTTAGACACCTCAAGGACCCAATCAGTTAGGAAATTTTAATTAACCACTCAATTAAAGATTTTTTTTAAACTTATCTTTTAAATTCAGAGAAAATGTGTTTGAAGAACACATTTCAACACGTAAAGCAATAGTCTACTTTTCCACATACTACCACCACTGTAGTATCTAAGCCTATTAAATTCTTCAGGGGTAAAGATTTATTCTATTATTCAAAAACATGGTGCTGTGCTGTTTCTGAACAAGATGCTCTGCACATGTAGTGCTCCCAGGCAGTACAGCATTATTCATAATTGCATTACTGCTGCTGAAATAATCAAGGTTTACACCAGGTTCCTGGATATAAAAGGAGTCCTACAACAAGTGTGTCTAATGTGGAAACTGATGTAGAACACAACAGAAGGACAGCAGGAAAGCAGATGTTTATGCCAATGACTTCACACAGCAGTTTACAAAGATAAAATATTATAAAGTTGTTCCCAGAAAAATGCTTATCACCATAACTTGAGTTGTACCCTACTGAGTGAAATGCAGTGAGACTATTTTTACTTTCTGAATTGAGACAAGTTTTCTATAAGCTGTTTTTTCCATTTTTCAGAGAGCAAACACTACCTCCTAGAATTGTCAAAATTATCTGTTGTCATTATTAAGTTTGTTTGAAGGCCTCACAAAGCTAAACAAAACACTCTCTTATGTTGTGCTTTTGGCGAGCGAAGGATAGGGGAAAATGTAACTATTTTTGGAGGACAACTAATACTTTTTAGTTAAAAAAAACAAACCAAAATAAACCCCAAAGAAACATACTCTCAAAACTCCGAATATGATTTGTCAGCCCTCTTCCCTATCAGATGTTTCTTGGCTGATAAAATGGACTTGGTTTTACACAAACACCAAAAGTGTAAACACAGCAGGTGTTTACCATGTGAAATGCTACTTTTAGCCACCAGCAAACATGTGCTGTGAAATGAGAATCCAACAGGTTGGGTGTTGTAATAGACTATAACCAGAAATGTCAATCAAATCTTGGATTTGCTCAAGAGTAAGGAGAAGCTCAGCATTCTCATTTGACTTCCAAGTGGACATTTGTTCACATCACACCCACCATGGAGTCTTGGCAGTGTTTGCTTAAGAAAAATCAAGAGACTGGAATAATAGCAATCTCGTAGGTCAAGACTGGAATGCAGTGACAAACCTGGGCAACACATCCTCAAGGGTACACTGAATTCCAAGGATACACACTACTCTTAAAAATACCAAGATAGTGACTACTCCTTTAAGGGCTAGATAAGTATTTTAAAACTGAGCTTTGATTGAGCGAAATCAGTGATTTCCATTGCATTTCAGGAATAGCAGTAGCATCTCATCATTTACCATTTCTCAAGCATGTTCACTATGGAATATGAAATTCCGTACTTAATAAGGGATAGGAAAAATAAAAAGAAACCTTGATTCAAAGTGTGAAGCTGGGCCATTAGCAACTTCAATGTGCTTATGTAAGAGGTTAGCATCATCTTCTGCAAGCTCCGGACCTTGGGCTAACTTCTGCCACTCTCTCCGTCTGTCATGAGGTGCCCTTGGCACTTTTTCTGGTTCATGAGGGCGATCTAGATTTTTCTGCTGTAGAAGAGTTGTGGAAACAAAACTGACAATTAAGACAGTGTCTTTTCATGAGTTGCATCTAAACATTAGTCACAAAACAATGAAAACCAATCCCAATTCAAGTGCAAGAAAAATTTACTTTCCATCTAAATAAGATACGTAAACCAAAAAGACTTGTAAAGGCAGAAACTTCTGTCTAGTGGATAATTAGCTGAATAATATAGAGAAAAATACCTTTATAAGTAGCTTTTTATTCTAAGTCTGAAATGAAATTATGAATCTGACACATATTTACTGTGTCCGTGTATGAAATACACAGAATAACGGTGAAACATAAAAGTAGCATTACCTTTACAAAAGTGTTTATTTTCATAAAATATAAAGTGCTCTATTCCTACTAATTTCTTTCTAGTTTAGAGTAAACATATCTATTAAAATGTCATTCAAGCCTTTTCACTTGTAAAACTGTGAGAATTTTGTATTATAAAAAAATGTTCAAGTGGAATTCTTTACTCTTGTTGTATTCCTCCTTTTTGAGTCACTGCTAGAAGACTTAAAAGTCTTGGGAAACTTGCTGTTAGTTACATTAAAGACAGCATGAAAGCTCTAGACCCTTCTATACTTTTTTTAATTTTTACTATTAAATATGTATTTGTTAAAGTTGATGGAACTGAATGGACATAAGTAGTTTTAGTTGAATGAAGATAACTCTGTAAAATTTGGATTGTTATTATTAATTCCATAACCAATAAAGTACCATATCTGCAAGTAAACCCCTTCCAGGAAAAAACAACCAGAAGCTACATAAAGCAAACATATATATATGTGTATATATATGTATATACCTTCTGCTTCCTCTTTTCTTTTCTTTTGTCCTCGGTGTCCTGCAACATTTTTTCCTTCCACAGATCAAAGAAGTATGAAGGATTGGTATAAAACTTCAAACCCTCTTTTCCATCATCCCTGAAATAAAATGACACAAACACGGCATACTATTCATTTGACAACACATGAATCCAAACATTAAGGCAAAGGAAAGGTATATCAAGGAATACTTAGTATCTCAGACCCTGAAATATTTTACTGAAGAACATGAAAAAGATGAGCATTGACCTCCTGTGCCATCATTCTTTACTATCTTTCCTTGTATTCAAGGTCCTGACTTTAGAAAAGTAACTTTAAAGCAAGCCATAGAGGAGAAATAGAGTATCATAAATCAGAGGACTCCTATTCCAATGACTCAAATTTTGTTCTTATAATAATGAGCAAATTTGTGTAGCTGCTTTCATTCAACTACTGATTTAAACTGACTTTGGGACAGCAAACAACATCCATTTCCATTAAAGACCTTCCTTTCCACGTACTTAACTGCTTATTTTCTTTACTTCACATCCAAGAGCATTACACAGTTTAATAAATAACAGCTAATAAAAAATGGCTTTTCCTTACCATTGTTACACTGGGGTAAAATTTGAGGAAAGTGAAGTAAAGTTTTAATGCTCATAATGTCTTCTGCTGCCTGTATTCCTCCAGCAGCTTCACAGTTTTCTAGTGTGGCTCCTTAAATATTCAAGTGCTGCTCAACATGAGCATGGTGCCTGGATATAGCATCTCTATTACATAAAATAAGCTAGAAATTTGTTTTGATTAACTTTATTTTACTAACCTGTAAGGGGTGAGAATGTTAAGTGGAGGAGGCTGTTCACAAATGTCATAAGTTTCTTGCAAAGGAATAGGCAGCGTCTTGCGGTCAAACAGCTGCTGATCTTGAATTGTGGAGCTCCGGAAAGCTTTCCTCATTGTAATGTCCTGCAGTGACACTGAAAGGGATATTGCAATTTAAAAAACCCACCAAAGACCATTTATTTGGATTAATCTGGATTGCTTAATGCTGGTTAGAATATATACATTAAGCATTACTACTAGTATCCTATGCATTTTATGGGAAATACAAATTCATCTAGCACTACTGCCATGGCAAGATACTGTCAGATTATGTGAAAAACATGCTTGTAATGTTCTAGCATATTATCCCCTATGTAGCTTCACAGGAAATTTTGGCTCACCTGGATAGATATCAGAACTCTGCCTCTCCAAAGCAGTTCAGCAAATTGCTTACTGTAGCTATAAAATATCATTCTGTAGTTCAGAAGTACCTAATAACATTTACCAACTCCATTTCACAATCCTTTTGGCGCTAAAAAATTACTCTCTATCTTGAGGTATAGATCTTACGTTTATACCTATTATCTATCATAAAGCCAGACTTTATGTTCCTTGCATGTAGTTCCACTGAAGGCCCACTGAGATGTCAAACCAGCAAATCGCTTAAGCTTATACTACTGATATCAGTGAGTTTTAATGGGAGGTGATACTATGTTCCCACACATATTTTCTATAAACACATTGACAGTGATGTCTTTTTACTCAAGAGGACGCACCCCTCCCATATCACTAGGGCCTTTGGCAACAGCATTTTAAGAAGGTGTACCTGTTTAAGCTGTAAGCTGCACTTTAGCCTGGTTCCTGCAACACGCAGAAGTGTACACACGCACACACAGACGCACAGCACAGAGATGGGTTTCTATTCTATGATCATAAAAGGGCAGAAGGCAGAACTTTTTCCAGAAGACTTCCAGTTCCTGGAATGTTCTATCTCCTTACCAAAGCGTATTGGCAGCATCGTTAGTGAGACTAAAGAAGGGATTTATTTGGTTTTCAGTTTGACTTTTGACGTTTATTACAGTTGGCAAGGTTGTGTGTTCCTGGAGAAGTTTCCTCCTTTTTACCCTTAGGTTCTACTTCATTAAAGCATCTTTTATTCTTTCTAATATCTTTAATTAGCTTCTCAGAAGCATGTGTGAAAAGTCTTATAATGTATGAATGTCAGCTAGGAGTCTCAGTTTCTGCAGCTATTTTTGCACTCATAAATAACCATATATATTTTGTACATCTCATGAAGTACAGGTTGTTATTTGCTGGCAAAAGTTCACAAGTAGAAGAACTGAGGTTTATCTCATCTAAATATCTAGTCTTAGATTCTTTTGTACTTCAGCTGGTTTTCTTTTGGGTTGTTGGTTTTACAAATCTCACCAAATGTACTTGTTCAGAGTTGCTTGGCAATCCTGTAAGTCTTTAAACTGTCTCACACTTACTGGAGACCATGCCAACAAAAACAAGAGCTGGTATACTTCTCTTTGAACCCGTGTACACTCTGAAGGCACTGAAGTAAATTAATTTATTCCAATAAATAAATACAGTTCTTTGTTTTAATATTAAAATGCTCACAGAGTATGTGACACCATGTTATTGCTACATATATTGTTCTATAAATTCTTTATTAGCATTCTTTTATCTCTTCAGTGAGCAAATACAGCTGGTCTAATTAATAATCTCCATTTTCTTGTTTAAATCTCCACTTTTTATAAACGGGTACAAGGGGATAACACACCTGAGGATAATCAATCAATCCCCAACAATAAGTGTAGATTACTTTCTCTCTAAAATTAAGCTACGCAGCACAGGTCTTCATAGAAAATATACACTGTGGAATTTCAAACAGCGTTTCCTGCTCTGATATCCAATGACCGACATTCACTGAAAAGCATGCCCATTATTCAAAATAACCAACTGCATCAGAAAAACATTACTAAGGAAAAGAAAGGACGTAGCACCCAAAATACCGAGAATCATCACACTGATATAATTCGCCTACAGACAGGGATCAGCTAAATCCCATGGTGCAAGCACAGCATAACCCTGGGCTGTGCAGGGTTTGGCTTACAAAGCCATTTGTTTAGCTTGCCAGCTGGCTATGAAACAGAAACCCTGTGTGGCTTGGCACCTCAGGGGGGAGTATGTGAGAACCTGGCCGGTCATCCAGCCACTTAGCTCTGGCTGGCTGACAGACTGGCACAGCAAGAAGACAGATCAAACAAATTGGGTATATGAACTCAGGTGTGAGAAGGGGTGAGACACTAAAGGAGGAGCTGGAAATGCTGCAGGGATTTGACTTGATGCTGATAAATTTAAGCTTCCAGTTGCCTAATTCCTAACTAGCACTAGAACTGTCTTATAGCCCAAGATCCCAAATTTCATATGGATACATTTTCCTGAAAGTCCATCTGCTACACCACTAGTGTTTACTGCTATGAACAAAAAATGGGGTCTTAAATGACTTCCTTAATATTGAGCAGTTCACAATTTAAGTTAATCATTCATTCAACAATCTGATCAAATGCCAGTTTTTCTTTACTGTGTCTGTTGTTTGGATTGTACAAATAGACCTATTATATCAGCCAGTCTAACTTCCTGTACAACACAGTATTTGCCACATAATTAAAAACTATCTCTGTCAGAAAGCTAAGCTACCGGCCTTTTGTACAAAAAAAAAGGTATTTAAATTGCACTCTAATAATTAGATACAATAACTGTTTTTCTTTTGGGCTGAACTACACATTAAATAAAATATCTGTTATATGTATACACTTAACATTTTACCTCCTGTTAAGCCTCTCATTAAAATGCAATCCCCAATTTGTAGTAAAAGTCAGGTATAGAGCACATCAGTGTACTGACAGAAAGTAGCTACTTCCACATTTCAAAGTTATTAAAAATTACATTTTATTTAATCCTATCAGAAGAAACAAACCTGTTACTATATTTTTTTATTCTTTTAAACTCACTCCAAAGTACAATTTATGAAGAGGTTCTAGGCCAAAAAATACCATTCTCCTAGAGGTGGTAAATAAATAAATAAGATATATTCCTTTCAAAAGCTCGCTCTCTCAACACTTTCTGCTGAATTTCATCCTGATAACTTTCAAGACCATGAACTCTTGAATGCCACAGCTACGGCTTGAAGAACTGTTTACAAGGTCATGTAGCAACAGGATGAGGACTAATGGTTTTAAACTAGAAAAGGGTAGATTTAGGTTGGATATTAAGTTCTTCATTATGAGGGTGGTAGATCACTGGAACAGGTTGCCCAGAGAGGTGGTGGAGCCCCATCCCTGGAGATACTCAAGGTCAGGCTTGATGGGGCTCTGAGCAACCTGATCTGGTGACATTGTCCCTGCTTACTGCAGGGGGGTTGGACTGGATGAGCTTTAAAGGTCCCTTCCAACCCAACACATTCTATGATTCTATGACTCCTTGCAGAACTGAATTACTGTGGGAAATTATCTACAAACCAATGGACTCCATTGCCCACAATTCTCTTTCTCTGTAAAAATCTTACCCAGCAATTTGAAAAGTGCAGGGAAGAAAGAATGACAATATCGAATGAACAAATCATAAGATTCCAGTTAAAGGCAGTTAAATGGCAGGGGAGGAGGGTTGAAAATTCTCTTCAGATAAAGATTTGTGTGATTCAGTTCCTCAAGATGCTACAATCTTGAAGTGCAATTTCTACTTTATGTATTTTATTTTTTAAATAGTTATCCACTTCAACAATGCGTAGAATTGCAAACATACTAGGTTCCTCTGCCATAAAAACACTTTTGACTCCTCTACAGGTTTAGCAGTTGTAAAGCAGACAGAGAAGTCATTTCTCCAGAAGACAAACTACTCTCCTTTGGGCTTGTCCTCAGCACAAGAAACTCAAGTTTTCTGAAATACTGATTTTAGAAAATCCAAAACATCTCAAGCACTCTTTGGATAACCTAACTACTTCAGGTAAATAAAGAGAAGATGTAAATCATGTTAAGAGGAGTCAGAAGCTGCTTTAAATGCAGTGTGTAGCAGCAGAGAGCCGCGAGCAGCCTGCTAGGGAAGATGTGAATCACCCAGCTGCATCGAGCAGTAAATCTGCTGGTGAGGCTCAACAAAACTGCCACGTTATTTAGCAAACAACATTTTGTCCAGATCACTCTTCTTATATACAAAATACAAATCATGCAATATCATGGCTTTACTATTGAACTATTAAGCCTTGGACACACTAATTCAAAACTGATTTACTTACTAAATAACCCATAAATTGAATCGAGGGCTAAGAAAATTGGAAGAAAAAGCACAGAGAGCAGTTAGAGCTCAGCCCATCTGCCCAGATCTCTTGAGAGGGAGACTCCCTCATATCCAGCTTTCATTAAGTGGAGATGTGCCAGGACCTTCTATACAATTTAATTTAAGAGTTTCTTTATTTGACTTTGTGGGTAAAAATTCTTACAAATGAATTGACAATATTACATGTGGAGGTCATGACCCAATTTTCATCTGCTCCCTGTTCTTAAACTTGATGATGTTTATACTCAAGTCACCAAATTCCTCTTCAGAGGCTAGAGGTGGTAAGTGAGCTGCCCCTTACTATGGGATTTACTACCCTTTCCTTCCAAGTCTCACAATGGGCTGCGTAACCTGATTTGAAAGTTGACTGAGTCTCCCTTTTCAGAAGTATACACACCACAAGTAGCTGCCAAGCTTTTTAGGTTTCTTCCCACCAGATGCCACCTTTTTTGCCTATAGCAAACCCTCAAATCTCTCTTCAGTATTAATCCAGCAAAACTTCTGTACTACTGTCCCTTCTATAACAGGGCAGTATTTCTACAATTTTAGAAAAAAAACAAGCACATGTAATCAAAGCCAGAAACCTACTGAAATACAATTCATAACATTGTTTGATTCCTTTCCTGAAGTAAGCCAGCTCACCCATACCACTTCTGCCATTAAGTTTTTAAGTTGCTTGTCACAGTTGTAACAGATATGCTGTAGAAATCAAGAATTTGATACACTGCTTTTGAGATTAAAATCCTCTCCAGTTTGAGATCTCAATAGAATTAGGCAGTTCATGCTGAAGAACCACTAAAGTAATACCAAGATACGCAGGTAAACTCTTAGTTCATCAATTCCCCTTCTGCCATGATACACAACTATTTTCTAATACCTCATTACACTGTACATCAGAGCTGTACTGTGTATCAGCATTTCAAAAAAGAACAACATAAAAGCTAAACTGCATATTATTTTAAAAACTGCCAGATTTCTATAGATACAAAATTATTTACTTATAGTAGTACTTCAAGCTTAATGGCACAAATAAATTCACAAAAATGTGGTAAATTGGAAAAAATCTGTTATTATACTTTTATAATTTGCATTTATACAGAGAGAGTAATGTTATTTAAAAAGTAAATACTGAAATTATTAAAAATAGTAGCAAAGAAACTATACTCTTCGGCTTTCTTTTTTGATCTATGAGGATATCATATATTGCAGGGCTACTAAAACTGTCAACCTTAGTTCATGTCTATAGCAAGAATGTGTTTTCTCAGTCCCAAAAAGACCTCAGATATGATAACTCTTGAATACATATAGGCTATTTTCCCATACAACTGAAATAAATTTCATTTTACCGAAGGAAAGCAGAGAATTTCTTTTTATCTGTATGCAAGATTAGTATCTTTTCTGAGGGGAAAAAACAACATGTATATACTAAAAAACCTATATAAAAGTAGATTACAATATGAAATTAGTAATTCTGAGAAATCAAGAATTTGAAAACTGTAATAATTCAAACCAAACCAAGTTCATAGCTTCTGCGACAGAAAGATTGTGCACCAGGAATTAGTCCCTTCAGGATATGACCCTAACCTTGGTTTCATTTGGTTTTAGTCTTTCACAGAGATATTGTAGTAATTCAAATTGAGAAAACACACAGACTATTCAACAAATTCAGAGCTTTTTATTACTTTGACTCTACCAGAAACATCTTGTCAAGTATCTGCGCCTCATTCAACAAATCTGACTTGGGCTGGTTTTGTTCATGCCACTTAGCTTTAAATGAATCTTAATCTCTTTCTCTTGTGTAATAGCATGGGCCCAAAGGAACACATTAAATCTTCTATTGCTGCCTGCTGGCAAAGAACCAGCAAATGAGACTCATTTTCCAAGTATAGCCCATTTTACACATGCTGTTAGCTGAGCAGAAGTACTGAAATTTGTTTAATCCTTGCATAGAGGGTTAAGAAAGGTAAATCCAAATGTTTTCCCTGTATCTTCATGCATTAACATCCTCCAGCTATTTAGCCCAGATCAGGACTAAACCAAAACTATTTGTGACTAATTTCTAAATTTCCAGCCTGAAACAAGATGCTGAAGTAGGAACAGTTTCCTTATCTCTAATTTTTAGGGAACTATAACATCAAATGTAATCTCATCTCCTTGTTCTCTTCTGGCGGCTCCTTCCAGGCAGACGTTTGTGAAGAAGGAACACGGGGTATGGCTCAAGGACAGGATATTCTTAGGTTAATAAAAACAGTCATTTAATAGTTCCTGACACCGAGGACTGCATGTGTTCCTCTGAAGTACCAGCAGTCACTGCTCGTTTATGACATGAGAGATAAATCCAGGGTATCAGATTCGAGTCACACTTGGCCACTCTGGACCTGATCAAGTAAATCTCTTTTCAGGTTCATTTTCTTTAATTGCAGTGTCTGTCCCTTTCTCTCGCTATCTATACAGTTTAGTAAATGCTACAGTATACACAGTACTGTGAAAAGTTATTGATCTGGTGCATTGGGGACTGCATACTATTTCAAAATATTTCTAGCAATACTGTGATGTGGAATAGTCATGGATATTAAGTACTGAAACCTACAGCCAAACTTGTCAAAGGCCATTTACACAGGAAAGTACAATTTTCCATCTTGCTATCCTGTAACATCCTTATATGCTTTAAGTCAATGACATAAAATGGTTTCTGTTTTCCTGAAATGAGAATGGTTGCCATATGAGATATGCCACATCAACGTATATGCCACTCCGATTTAACCCAAAAACTAGACTGTCAAGGGTAAATGCAGAGATGACATTAACATGCTGGCGTATTACAGCTTTTACAAGATTACAATTGCTGTCAATTTGCTACTGTACACAGAAAGGATTTTTGTCATTGTCCAGTCATAGTAAACATGGTATTTTATTGGGAAAGGAGGTGCATGTGTTTGATTTATGCTCAGTTGTCAAGAGACTTGGAAAATCCCATTAATGTAAGAATTCCTTTAGGCAAGTAATGATTTTGTGGAAAATATGCTACTATCTGTGAACTGGTGTCTTTCAAAATCTGCTCTAAAATTAATGTCATGCAAAATACAGAATCAAAACTTTCTTAGCTTAATTTTGGTATTAAGTGAAATTTCAACATTGGTAACTAAACACAGCCTGAAGACCATGCTCCTGGTTTGACACTCCATTTTTCCTGAATTACACACCTAGACACTCAGAACTGAATCATGTCTACACTTTAAAGTCTGATCCCACAAGCAATCTGAAGTTATTTTTCATTATATGATGTTGCCATACCCTGGCGACTTTTGGAAGTACTTGTTTTCTCAGTGCTGATCAGTATTTATAGTACTTAAAGCTATTTAGGAAGAATCCAAGGGGATACATAGCATCAATAAATGGAGCTATACAACTATAACTTCACACAGAATGTAAGTTGGTAATAACTTAAAAGCAAAAACCCTACTTGGACAAATGGTTACATCCCGTAAGAATTAGTAGGAAGGTTAAAAAAAAAGAGTAGAGACTTATCTCCAAGAATTCACACAGTTATAATATTGTTAATAATACTGTTAATATTATTTAAACTAATACATAATACTACTGAAGTGACACATACTGCTGCAGCAGCTTTTATGTAAACTCACTGGTAACAGTACTGTTCAGTTACCATGAAAATGTTGAGTTCAGAAAGCTGCTCAAGGCTATAAAAGAAACCTGTAGCAGAAATAGAAATGGACCTCTCTCATGATGTTTTGCTCTGTGTCTTATAATTTAAACTATTATTATTTCCATTTCAAGTGTCAGTGGTATCTGGGTGAGATAGCAAAAGCAAAACAAGGAATTCATTCACTACTTCCTATCGGCAGGCAGGTGTGCAGCCATCTCCAGGAAAGCAGGGCTCCATCACGCATAACGGTTACTTGAGAAGATAAACACTGTAACTCCAAACGTTCCCCCTGTCCTTCTTCTTCCCTCAGCTTCATACACTGAGCATGATGTCACATGGTATGGGATATATCCCTTTGGTCAGCTGAGGTCAGCTGTCCCAGCTGTGCCCCCTCCCAGCTTCCCGTGCACCCCCAGCCTACTCGCTGGTGGGGCAGAATGAGAAGCAAAAAAGGCCTTGACTCTGTGTACGTGCCACTCAGGAGTAACAAAAGCATTCCCATATTATCAACACTGTTTGCAGCACAAATCCCATACTAGCCAGTTCTATCCCAGCCAAAACCAGCAGTGACAAAATAAGAAATCTTCAGTGCAAGACTTAACTTACATTCCTCTTCCTTTGGATCAAGTTGTGTAACACTGACAGATAAGCGATCTACACGTTCTTGTAAGGAGTTGACTCTAAATGAGAAACTGTGCGCTTCATTGAAAAGTTCCCCAAATATATCTTCAGCATATTTACCTGAAATAGGGAAAAAAAAATTCAAGCATATCACAAAACTGTCAAATGAGTTTGCCTTGAAACAGATTTCTAACTATTTTAAGAAAGTAAATCTAAGATGCATGAGTATCACTTGTAACAACCTGTACTTACTGAGCTTATTAAGAATGCTTCAGAAAAGTAAACAGAAGTTGAATACTTAATTTGTAATTTATTTATCAGAAATGAAATTATTTTATACATTACAGGAAAGATATTCTGCTAGTATAAGTTGATTTAACAATGCTTATTGCAAGGAACTAGACTGTTTAGTTTCCTGCATATGGATGAAAGGATGATTTCCAGCATCTTAAGCTGCTCCTGCATGAGCAGTAACTAATCTTTCCAAGTGACATTCATCTCAACATTTCTCAAAATGAAGTATAGTTTCGACTCCTCCTGTTTAGAGGACCTCTCAAAAACAGAAGATCAGATATTTACATCTAGGTTAGTTAGAACCAGCCTACTCAAAAATATGCACTAAAATAATAAATTCTACTTTGAAGGATCAAAATTCTAGTAACTAAATTAGACTGAAATAAAATAAGAATCTCCTTTGTTCACTTCAATGAGCATCACACATTTAGCGTAAAAGAGCAGGAGATTCAGTCATCATGAGAAAAGGATCAATAACAAGGTTCTCCTCTACAGACAGAGTACTCCATATAGTGCTTCTAATGCATCCCCAACTCAGCTTGAGTACTCTGTCAGTGCCACTGAAAAAACCCACCAGATTGCCTAGTAAAATGTGCAGCCACATTTCTGAAATACCTCGTGATAGCTTTAAAAACTTTCTACCATAAGGTGCGTATATAATTTCTGTGCTGTTTATGCACTTGCATTGGTTTTGGATGTATAAATCTTACACCTTTCTAACTACCTGGTTTGTACACAAGTCCTGACAAATACAATAGGAAACGACAGTTATGAAAACTTGGCCTTTGGTGCACAATATATCTGGAAGTATATATAAAAATGAGGACACTTTTAAATCAAGACATCAAAAGGACAAAAATTAAATCCATACAAGTAGTGTGGAAACTACTTAAAGATACCATGTGGTTAGCACAAGGGCAGCACATACCATTTCCGAAGACTTTGGTAATGGCAACAGAAAACAAGCACGGCTATAAACAACAGAACATAAAAGGAGATATTGGAAGAAATGTACAAAGAAAGAAAATAGAAAGGATCATAAATTCTGGCGTATTGAACATAAAATCCAAAAGCTAGCCTGAGGAACAACTACTAAACTAATAATAAATATTTCTTCAAAGGCGTGAGGAGCAAAAGAGCCTGCCAGGGAGTCTGTAGAGCCAACTGGCAATGAAGGTAGAAAGAATTACTCAGAGAATACAAGATCACTGCAGACGAGTTAAATTAACACTTTCCACTGGTGTTCAGTGAAAGGAACTGGAGAGATCCCCATGCCACAACCTTTCTTTGTGGGAGGCTCAAAGAAACTGAAGTAACGATACAAAAATTACAAAACTAAATTGACAAAATGACCAGTAAAATATTACTAACAATTTGTAAATCTCCTTTATACACACTGAAAGGTGGCAAGCACAATATTAAGGTTCAAATATCTTTTCATGGAACATCTGGAGAGCTACAGGCCTGTAAGCCTGACAGCCAGACAAATGAATATAAATCATTAGGAAGAACTGTATTAGCAGACACCTGTATGACTTGTTGGAGAAGAGCCAATACAGCTTTTGTAAAGTGAAATCTCTTGTGGAGGGTTGACCCTGGCTGGACACCAGGTGCCCACCAAGCCACTCTATCGCTCTGCCTCCTCAACTGGACAGCGGAAGAAAATACAATGAAAGGCTCATGGGTTGAGATGAGGACAGGGAGATCCAATTACTATCCAATTACTATCATGGGCAAAAAATAGACCCATTATTAATTTAATTAATTAATTTAATCTATTACCAATCGAAAGACAGAGTAGGGTAATGAGAAATAACACAAATCTTAAAACACCTTCCCCCCCCACACCTCCCTTCTTCCTGAACTCAACTTCACTCCTGATTTTCTCTACCAGTTCTGGTCCCTGTCCCCCACCAGTGGCACAGGGGGACAGGGAACAGAAGTTGCAGTCAGTTCATCATGCATTGTCTCTGTTGCTCCTTCCTCCTCACCCTCTTTCTCTGCTCCAGCATGGGGTCCCTCCCACAGTCCTTGCCATGGTCTGCAGTTCTTCATAAATGGCTTCAGTGTGGGTCCTTTCCATGGGGTACAGTCCTTCAGGAACAGACTGCTCCAGTGTGGGTTCCCCATGGGGTCACAAGTTCAGCTTCTCAGGAAAGTTTCTAGCAGCTTCTCACAGAAGCCACACCTGTAGCCACCCCACTACCAAAACCTTGTCACACAAACCCAATATGTCTCTGATGTGTTTATAAGCACATGGATGGAGAGCTGCGATCTAGTAATATTTCAGAGAGAGTTTTGAAAGGCCCTCATGAAAGCATTTTGGGAATACTTAATGGACACGCCATAAAAAAAGAAAAGACATTGCACAGATAAATAATTCCTCAAAAGGTACAAAACAGAGGATAGGAGTAAATAACTGGTCTTCACAGTTGAGAAAGGTGAGATTCCATAGGTTTCTGTACTGGGACCTATGCCATTCAAGATAGCAGTAAATGACCTGGAAAAAAGTGAGATTAAAGTTTTCCAATGATACTAAGTCATGGAAAAGAAACATGCAGAAACCCCAACTTCAACTGGTTGAAGAGGCTTCCATGCTGGAAAGAGCTGGAGGCTGGGAGATTATTAGGAGTATTGTACATGCTTGCCTTGCTCTTATTTTTGGAGCATTTGCTATTAGCCACAGTGAGAAGCAGATCAAAAGTGCAGCCATTCTTAGAAACTTAGAACCAGGCCACAGTAAAACAGAGATGAAAAGTTAGCAAAGTCTACTTAGCTGGCAACTCACCTAACATAAGAGTTTCTAATATATGTCTTGAAACTCTGAAAAGTTTACGTTCTTTAACCTGTTTTTAATAACTTAAAAACTCGAACCACTAAGAGCAAGATTACTAAACTTTTAATATACATTTACTAAAAAATTAATTTATTTCAGATAATTTATTCAGATATATTATTCAATTTGACAACTCACATAATATTCAGGCATGCAAATTAAAATTAAAATCAAGTGTAAAATTTCATATATAGAATAAAAAGTAAATTGCAGGGCTCTAAAATCCAACAACTTCCCTTTTATAGGTGTATTTTAAGGCTACAGTTTGTTTTATCTATATCATTTCATCACGCTTGCAAATTAATCTACCTCATTAATGAGTTCCAGTTGCAAATAATCTGTCTCAAAAATCTTCTCATCATGTTGCATACAGCCACAAACATATTGCATGGAATAATTTGCCTGTGCTTATGAACACTAATCCTCAAATGAGAAATACATTAAAACCAACCTATCGTCTTTGAAGTGGTATGCCAACCACAACGTGTCTACCTACGTGCCTGTTGGCAGTCTCTTTATTTAGCTTGAAGTATATTTAACTAAATGCTTTTTCAAGGAAAGCAAAATGTTAGCTTTTTGTGAAATGTATAACTTCCCTTCAAAAGAATACTATGTGTGAACGTATATATGTATACAACATTTATATTCCAGTATTTATGTTGCTGTCTCTGTGTGTATTCCGTATGAATAAATCTTCAATTCTGAATAGACTACAAAAGATACAATTACAAGTGAGAACACTGCACAAAGTGTCACAAACACTGAAATAAATAAAAAAACTTATGAGAAAAAAATTACATTAGGAAACAAAGCTGATCTCATTCCACTTAATTTATAGGTAATATGTTAGAAGAGTAAGGAATCAAAATTAATTCCACTACATAGAATGAGTATTTCAAAGTAATTCTGACACTTCAGAAAATTTACATCATTATGGGACTGTTTGATGAAAAACTCTAGTCTTGTTTCATGCAGTACCATAAAGAGAATGACAGATGACTATGATGATTAAAATAATAATGCCTCAGGATCTTGGTCACAGCTGGAAATATAATACCAGATTAGAAAGACCAGTGATCTTGTTTGCCTATTAAATTCAATGACAATATAGACTTCTGCAAAAAAATTATTCTAACATCTGTGAAAAGCTTGTTTTACTATATTTTCAAAACTTGCTTAATTGACCAGAAATATACCAAAATTTGTTATTTTCAAAAGGCAATTCATATGCCCTCCAATATTACTATCTGTTCTTCTCAGTCCATCATAGTGGCATTTATTTTTATTAACAGAGCACAAGTTTTTTATATTTAAATAAGAGGATACATTATTATTTATTTTTAATTAAGGAATGTATTATTCACCTTATTATTCTTTTCACAGCTTTTTCTCCTGTCTCAAAGGGTTCTATTCACAATTAACCCTTCAGTAAGGAGGAGATACAGGAGTGCAGCTCCCTCTGGTGTCAGTCAATGTCCTTTTTTGTGACAGCCAAATAAAATGTCTTGGAAGTGATGTGTAGTCCTTCCTCCTCCAGAGAACAGGAGTGTGTTTTCATAGCCTTTTTTGAGCAATTATTTTTCTGACATTTAAAACAGACCTAGGAGCTGAAAACAGAATACTAGCTAATAACTACTAGCTGAAAATAGAATAAAAATAACAGTGCTCACCATCTTCCTAATTTTTTTAAATTAAGACCACCAAAACATGTATCATCCACTCCTGTTCATTACCATGGCAGTAAGTGTATAATGGCTTATGAAATCTGAAAAAGCGACTGATCAGTTTTACAGTTCTGCTCTTTCACCATTTGTTTCTCTTAAGTTGTTTTATCTCCTAATTTTCTCCCATAATTTCTTAAATATTTGCCCAGCATTGGCTTCTGTTCAGAAATGAATAATTTCTAACTATGCAATACATTAATATGAAGGGATACCAAGGTAAAAGAAATGTTATTTTTTTCTTGTTCTGGGGGACTGGGTATATATCA